ATCTGACACGCCAAGCAAACGTTCCTTACAAGTACACGAAAACCAAATAATATTATCAAATAAAAGTTTGAACAATTTAGAGTTGAAACAAGACAAGCAGGTACCAGTGAAATGAGTATCAACACAGAAACAGTAGAAGACGATTGTAGGACTACTCAAGAGACTGTTGCTACTTTTGATACAAATGACAATCAGAATGGTCAACGTGACGTGGAACAAGAAAGAAAACAGAAGCAAATCCAGTGATTTCAAAGAATACATTGACTTCACAAATTGGTCAAGAACAGATGTTCATGATTTTATACATTAATGTAAGACATGGGTTTTTTTTTTTAATCTAAAAGCAGATGATGTATAAATTGAATCCTGCCATGTTTGCAAGGATCAAAACAATTTTCTCAAATAAATACTTTGAAATAAGAGATTGAAAATTGTTAGACTGTGATGTGATCCTGGTTAGTTTACTCAGAGAACAAAGTCTGTGTCTACTGTAATGTTTGCAAACTTGTTTTCAAATGCCAAACGTCACTTACAACAAATGAGTTTTCCGGATGTACTTAGAACTGTTAAGAAACACCAAGGCAGCGTGAGAAATTAGAAAGCTACGTTGTTTTGGATGAAAAATCTATTAAAATCATTTAAAAAATCCATCACTATTTTGAAGTAATTAAAAATGTAGTTGCTATAAGGTTTTTTTTTAAGTGAAAGGGCTTTGGCATTTACAAGTCATAAGAAAAATAAATTTAATTGTATTTATTATAGAATTCTATTTTTATGCGATCATCTTGAAAAACGTAAAAATGAAATATTAAATGGTGATTATTATTAAGTGGCACTTATTCGAAACTGAGTTTGAAGAATTGATAAAAATCATGGCAAAATATGTGCAGGGTGAAATTGTGGGTTCAATCAACAACATGAAATAAGACTCAGTTATGTTGGCTTTACGCCTGACACATGTTGACAAACTTCTAACTGTGGGTGTATATACTATAATAAAAACACTGTGAAATATCTTGAAAATTTTTATCAATATAAAAGCGTTCATACACTACTTTGTTCTACAAAATACATCATCTTAGGGTTAACATAAATTTCCGCTGGAAAATATCCATGTTGAGTTCTACGAACATGAAAAGCTCGAAGAAATGGTAGCATGTACCATTTAAAAATATATTAGAAGGTATGTAGACTATGTGCCATGTGCAGCCTATCTACTCAACCTTAATAGTGAAAAGTCAGTTCCGACGAAATTCATCCGACCGGATTGCATCGGTATCATTCCAAATCGGCCAACATTTCTGAAAACGATGAAGACAGTAATATCGATTACAAATTAGTAAATGGATGTTATCAATTCAAAGAATAGTTTCACCATAGGAAATCCTAGCAAAGAAGACGTTATCTAAAATGCAATTCTTCAACTTATTTGTGAGCTGCACATAATTGAAATGTTCCCTAATATTACTACAACATTTAAACTCTACTTGACAATGCCTATTCTACTTGTTCTTCTATGCCCCGTGTCCCTTCAGGACGTTGGCAAACGTGGCTCTTCATAGTTTTTTTTTTCTTTTTGTTATCTCTCTTAAAACTTGCTCCGCCATCAATTTACTCAAGCTCGCTAGATAGGTTATGCGTTGATTTCCTCTCTCCCTCTTGCCTTCAATCTGTCCTGCATGTATGAAATTTTTCAAGCCTATTTTCCTCATTATGTTCCCTAGAAATTTCAACTGTCTCTTCCTGAAGTATAAATGTTCTTTTTTTGTAAAACTTCATCGTTACTCATATGTTCGATCCATTGTATTCTCAGCATCCTTCTGGCGAACCACGTTTCTGTTGCTTCAAATCTCCTAATCATCTGTGAGGAGATTGTTCAGCATTCACTGCCTCTTTTTTTCTTGTTTTTATTACGATCTGTAAGCAGAAATTGATTTCTTTAAGTTATCCTTTACAAACATCGCTTATTTTTTGAGGGTATTTTTTCTCGAAATAACGCTGAATAATCTTTCATATTACAAAAATGCATGTGAATATTTTGCCAGAAATTAAAACTGTAGTGCGAATCTGCACCCATAACAATTTAAAATTCAAAGTCCCCAATATGTAAGTCCAACGTGTAATATATATATATATATATATATATATATATATATATATATATATATAGATGACTTGTAGATGAAGTGTTGAAACAAAATGGCTATTTTTGTAGCGATTTTATAACATATTTATGTTATCATTTTCGAATAAATTATATATATATATATATATATGTGTGTGTGTGTGTGTGTGTGTGTGTGTGTGTGTGTGTGTGTGTGTGTGTGTGTGTGTAATTAATAATTACTATTTCTTCATTTTTATCCTATTATCATTCAACTTATCTGTAATAATTAATGGCAAACAGATTACTTCTGATGGAATTTTGGGAACATTTAATGCAATATCTCAAAAGTCTATATCAGTCAATCTAAATAAATTGTGATTTAAAGAAAAAGAAGACAATGTCAACAACGAGTTATAAATTTAACGTTAGATAGAAAGGCTTAGAAAAGATCAGTGACAACACTTCCTTTTATTTTTTTTTATACTCTCTTCTGTTTATTTGCTTCTTCCATTATTTTTTGTTATATATTAAATGAACAGAAGAGAATGTAAAAAAAAATGAATGGAAAGCAGGCGTTAGAAAATAATTACTTGCTGAGGAAGAAGTCCTATTGGCCAGAAGCAGAGTGTCGTAGATCCTGTGGACAGCTTCCCAATTATGATATCCGCGAACTCCATTTGGAACAGGTTCCCAACCAGAGGTGCACGGACCCACAAAGCTAAATGAATTAAATAAGTTTGGTAATTTTGAGCGATAGGATTTATAAAAATTATGATCGTTTCTCCAGCATCTGTTTATCTCTGTCACAAAAGACAAGTATTCTCACTCTTTGGAAAAAATTAGGTTCTCTTCGGCATTTTTTTTCTTTTCTCTGACATTGTCGACATTTTCTTGCATCAATTATTTCTTTTTTTTATGCGCCGTGCCTCTTCAGGACATAAGCGGTCATGGCTCTCCACCTCCTCCTGTCCCTTGTAGCACTTAATAAGTTTTGTCTTTTTGTTATTTCCCCCAGATCCTATTCTGCCACCCACTTGCTCAAGCTCATTAAGTGTTGCTTTCCCTCAATCTGTCCTGTGAGTATCAGATTTTTCAAGCCCTCCTTCCTCTTTACGTGTCCCAGAAATTTCAACTGCCGCTTCCCGATGTTAAGTATAAGTTTTCTCATTGTTACCATTCCCTCCAAAACCTCGTCGTTGTCGTTGCTTACATGTTCAGTCCATGATATCCTTAACATCCTTCTGTAGAACCAAATTTCTGTTGCTTCGTGTCTCTTCTTCATTTTTGAAGAGATTGTTCAACACTCGCTGCTATACAGGGGGGGGGGGCGAATATCACGTCAGTTCATTTTCTTTATTCCCAATGAAACTTTCATGTCTCTTAGTAGTCTGCTTAGCTTTTGGAATGCATCTTTGGTCATCCCAATACGTCTTTGGATCTCAGTGTCGCACTTTTCGTCCTCTGTTAGAACATTTCCCAGATATTTACATTTCTGTAACTGCTTAATTTTAGTATCCTCGACCTGTAATTTGCATTTTGGGCTCATCGTTTTGCTGGTAATCATGCATTCTGTCTTTTTATAGTTTATGCTTAGTCTCTTCTTCTCACTTTCCTTCCCTACCTTCTAGGGGAGCTTTTGCAGTTTCCTTTCCGTATCTGCCATCAGCACTGTCTCATCTGCATATCTTATGTTGTTAAAATTGTGTCCGCCAAAGATGAATCCTGGTAGAATTTCTAGTTCTCTCAGAATCACCTCGCTGTATAGTTTGAATAAGTCCGGTGAGAAAACATATCATTGTCTTACTCCCCTTTCTATTTTTGTATATCTAGTGAACTAATTTTTTATCCGTATGTAGGCGGTTTGCTGCCAGCAGAGATTTTTGATTGTTCAAATGTTTTTCCTGAATATATCAAGGTTGCTGAGCAGCTCTAACAGGCCTTTGTGACGTACTTTGTCGAATGTCTTTGTATAGGCTATAAATCACAGGTACATGTCATTCTGCATTTGTACTGCTCTTTCTGATAACATTCTGAGCGCAAATATCGCGTTACTTGTTCCGGTGTCTTTGACGAACCCGCACTGTTCTTATCTGGTCTGATTCTGCTGCGTGCTCTATTCCTATTTTTCTTTCTCTAATATGAACGTTCCATTCATGGATTTTATGCAGCCTGTTGATGAGCTTGTATTCTGACCTGTTAGTTCCCTTATTTTTTATGCATATCTCCTTTATCTGTGACACTCATTCACTCTATTTCTGCACATTTTTCGTTGTGTCATTCTTTTTTAGCCTGCCTTTAGACATCTTTATCCCTCCATCGCAAGAGTTACATATCGTTCTGAGACGATTTAACAAGATAATCAACTACACTCTCTCTTTCCAGTGTATGAGTTTTTTTTTTTGTTTTGTTTTTTTACTTTTCTTTTCTGTAACCTGTTTCTCTTCTCTACTATTCTTTTCTGCTATATAAAAGATATTACCAATTCAGCCATTGAATAGATTTGTGTCCGGCTTTCTGCAGATATTAATTTTTTTTTTTTTTTTGCTGCATTCTAAATTTCTTTTTGCAGACTCCCCAGCCGTGTCTACATCTTCAGTCTACCGTAAATGGACGGACATCACTTCTGCTTTCTGGATCAAACAAATCACAACGTGAGCAGGAAGCAGGATTAAACCAGCTGACCGGTCGAATAATCTATGGATGCTCAGGGGACCTATGGCCACTCCCTTAAGTTCGGTTAGGACCGAGTAGAAACCTCAACCCCGAGAGTAAAACGCCGGAGGTTGAGGGGCCGGGGCGAAAGTGCTAGACTGCTGCCTGTGATCAGGATAGACCTGTGGGAATTACCACGGTCATCTGAAAGAGGAGAGAAGGTTGCATTTGTTTTGTCCCGTCAGAACCGAGTAAGACCAGAAAGGACTCTAGTCTTCGGACTATATTGGTCTGAAAGAGACATAAGGGGGAAAAGAGAAGGAAACAAAAGAAGGAGGAAAATGAAACAAAACACGGAGCGGCGGACCTCAGGTAAGTCATTTTTTGGTTTCCTTTGTTCGCTCATTGCACTTAGATCTGCCAGTAATATTGTTGATCTTGTTTTGACTTTGTCGACTTTGTACGCAGTTGAAACGCCACCACCGTATTAAGTATTTTTTCTTTCGTTCTGTCGTTGGTCTCTTTTCTCGTGGGAAAGGAGTAGTTGACAAGACGCTAGGAGAAGCGTAGAAGAATCAGACGCCACAGATCACCTTGGGATCATGGGAGTCCCCGAAATATCGATAGGTTTCAGGAGGCTGATAGGTAGCATGAAGCTACCTACTTATAAAGGAAACCCTGCGGACCTGCACGAATGGATTCTGTCCATTCAGAAAAAGCAGGTGATCTATGGCCTCTCAGACCAAGAAATGGTGCTCCTAGCTTACGACGCCGCAGTGGGGCATGTGTCCAAATTCATAGGGTGGTAGTACAAAGAAAACCCGGCCCTGACGTGGACCGAGCTTAAATCCGCTCTGGCGCGGCAATGCGCAAGTGAGCGTACGACCATTGAGACAGTCAGGAAATTATTCCGGCTACAGCAACAAGAAGGAGAGACTAAGGAGGAATTGGGGGAAAGAATCGTGGGGCTAGCGGCGTTAGCTTATCCGGAGTTGACGACTCGGGACAGTGGTCTTATTCAAGCCTTGCTGGCCGATGTGTATGTGGACGCGCTGAGTTACAGGGAGGGGCGATGTTCTGAAGGTGGGACCGGTCAGCCTGGCCACAGCCATAGAGGCGGCTCGGGCCAGCGAACGACACTGGGATAGAATAAGAGGCGGTGTAGGTAGCAACCCCCCGGGGGGTAGTGATGAAGAAGAAGGACCGGAAGCGGATCCAGGTACGGGACCAGAAAGAAGAGGTGGAAGAGGACTGGAAGGCTGAGGCAGTTCCCAATAAGAGAGACTGGGATCTGTGTTATGGGTTTCACAAACCCACACCGAGCCGGTGTGTTGGACTTGCAAGTATTGTGGGCATCGGGCCCGCGACTCTCCGACAAACTATGGAGGCGACCCAAGGTCTTTGGGGGCAGACTGCATGACTTGTGGCGAGTTCGGGCACAAGGCTCGGTGGTGTATGGCAGAGAGAGACCATAAACTGGGGATAAAACGAGTTAATATGCTGGTGCCCCCTACCGGAAAGGAAAAGGGTCCGGGAAACGCCGATGGGTCACCCGGGAAAAAAGTAAGAGGCAGGGTGGCCCCAGTGCAAGTAAGACCACTGAGATGCTGGACATGTGGTGTGGTCGGGCACTTTTCGGCCACTTGTAAGGAGCGAAGGTGTTGGCGCTGTGGAGGAGCGGGTCATTTGAGACGAACCTGTCCTCGCAGGAGAAAGATGGACCACACCGAACGGAACAACCCTAACTCGAATGGGGGGTGGAGAAATGGGTTTCTAGTCCGAGAAAAGAAGGTCATCTGAGCTTTACCACACCCAGGACGGCCCCTAGGCAGAAATTGGAACCCCTAGAAAAAGGTGAACTCCTGTCACCGACTCCCACGTCTTGGTTGTCGAGAAAGCGGGAGGAAGGGAGAGAACATACGGGAAGGAGAAAGGCACAGGTATACCGTTTGCTGAAGGAAGGGCCAGACTTCACTTGTAAAGTGTTGCTGGGAGACAAGAAGGTGGAGGCCCTTGTCGATATGGGAGCTTCAGTGTCACTGGTTAGCTCCAAGGTTTTTAGACAGTTGGGACTGAAAACGAAGCTTAGTCCTGTCGATCTACTAAGGTCAGGGTGATAGTAGCAGGATGAGGATAGAGGGTATGACCTTTCCAGTTAGCAAGAACCAGAGGTGAATTTAAGGTTTATGTGGCACCTGACTTGTGTGGTGAGCTAATTTGACTGGCTTAGGCAGAATAAGGCACAGATCCGTTTTGACCCCGCCACCCTAACATTGGCCGGGGTAGGGATATTGTTGGAAGAGGATAATTATGAACAATTGCCAGTGGTGGCCCAGACAGATATAAAGCTTCCCTCTGGGACTATTGCATCTGGGAAGGGCAAGATTATAACAGGAGTGCTGAACACTGACCTGTACCAAGTGGTCACTACCGATAGGTATGATAATAGTGAAGGGGAAATAACCGTGTGTGATTCGTTGGTGAAAAGGTCGGGGACCGTTTCCTTACTGTTAACCAATACTGCCAATAAAACTATTAAAATAAAGCAGGGAGAGGAGCTGCCACAGGCGTGCCCAGTGAGAGAAGTCGAACAGGTGAGAGTGTGGAATGAGAATGGGCCTGGGAATAAGACAGGTAGCGATGAAATAAGGGATGAAGATATAACAGCTCCTGAGCGTTATAGGCGGAAATTGAGGGGGTTGCAGAACGGTAATCGGGAGGTAATAGCCATTACGGATAAGGAACTGGGACAGACGGAGACAGTTGAAATGAAGATAGACACGGGTAATCCCCCACCTATGAAGTTAAGACCGTTTCTATACGGTCTATGCTAGGTTTAAGTGGACCGAGGATTGTCAGCGTGCATTCGAGGCTCTAAAGGACCAGCTGACAGCTGTACCCCTGTTGGCCTACCCAGACCTGAGTAAGCCCATGGTGCTGTACACCGATGCTAGCGATAAGTGTATCGGGGCAGTTCTTACACAACTTCCGAGATTCAGCAAAGGTGGCCAGTAATAGAAAAAGAGGCGTTCGCCATTCTGTATGCTGTGCAGAAATTAGATTATTATTTGAGTGGGGCTGTATTTACCATTAAAACATACCACAAACCCCTCAAATATTTTTTAGTGGCGGAGTGGACGAATAAGAAGATACAACAGTGGGCATTGAAGTTAAGTGGGTATAACTGCAGAATAGAATATTTGGCAGGGAAGGATAATACCTGTGGTGACCTGTTATCGAGGATTCCGAGGCAATTAGAGACCGAATCTGTCAGGTTGGAGCCGGGTGTGGATGATAAAGCATTCCAAATTAATGTGATCAATTCATAGGCGTTGAAGGAGAGACTTGGTTGGGAAGATCAGGAAACGAGTGAAACGAAGATTGCTTCCGCCCCCCACTGGAATGATATTATTAGGCAAAGCCAAGAGGATAGAGAGATAGCAACTATCAGGTCCAGGGTAGATGCAGGGTGTACCTCCAAATATATGGTGCACGATAGAGTGTTGTATTACCTTTCAGGAAGAGATGAGGAAGTTTAAAAATGGTGATACCTGAGAAGTTGAGAGCTGAAATTCTAGACCAATGCCATAGGAGGTTAGGACCCCTGGGAATTGATAAGACGTATGGATTAATAATGAGAAATTACTACTGGCCTAAGTTGTTTAATGATGTTGTGAACCATGTATAAAAAATTTGTAACATGCCAAGTACAGAGTCGAAGGAGTAGGGTTGCCCCAGTATTAGAAACGGATGTTCCGAATTATCCATTTCAGAAAGTAAGCATGGATATTTCCGGGACCTATGGAAAACACATAGAGGCAATCTTTACATAGTGAGTTTTGTGGACTGGCTGATGAATTGGCCTAAGACATTTGCCATACCGGATAAGAAGGCACGAACGGTGTCAGATATAATACTGAACGAAATATTCCCTAGGTATGGGGTCCCCGAACAGTTGGTTACCGATAATGGATCGGGGAATGTGAATTAGATTATGAGAGAGACGTTAGAAGAATTAAACATACAGCACATCACCACCTCTCCATATCACCCCCAAAGTAACCTAAGCGTTAGCAGCTGTGAGATTCTCAATGAATGAGACGACGAAATTTTCCCCTTATTACTTGATATATGTCAGGGATGTAGTCTTACCTGTAGACAATCTGTTATGACCTAAGAGGAAGTATTTAGGAGAGGATCATCACCAAATAGTTTTAGAACAACAACATAAAATTTTTACGCAGGTGAGGAGGAGGATTCAAAAAGCCCAGAAAAGGCGAAACGATAGGGTAAATAAAAATAGAGAAGACGTTTCCTTCCAGGTAGGTGATCCAGTGTATTATAAAATAAACCTGAGAGAAGGTAAATTGGACCAGAGATGGAGTCCATACTATAGGATCGTGGAGCAGACGGGTTCGGTTTCCTTTGTGATCTGGGACCAATTGACCGGACAGGTAAAGAGAGTGCATGCGAATGATATAAAGCTAGCTTAAATGTGAGAATGGAAAGGAGCCGAAACAAAAACTCAACAGAAAAGGCTGAGGAAATCTACGCTGGTAGAACCCGAAGGGTTAGAGACTGTGAAGGGAGTGAGGAGATTGAAATTAGCCCAACTACCCTTCGAAGGCTGAGGGAGGTAAGTCGGACCCAAGCGGGACATTCTGAGGAAGCAAGGATTGAGCCTAACCTTAGGGAAGAAGAAGAACTGAGTGAATGGAAAGAAGAGGATGAAATTCCATTAGCTCAATTGCAGAGTTAATTGCGGACTGAAAAGCACCTAGTGTTAATGAGGAATTACCACTAAAACTGCGATTAAGGAAGGTGGTGCAGCTCGAGCCCAAGGATTAAGTGAAACCAGTACAACGGCTGTGGTGAATGAGTGACGGTCTGGGACTAACTGTACATTTATCATCAGTGCTGGTGAACTGTGTAGACGGGCCCCATGCATGCATGACGCTGGTGGTGGTATGGGTCGGTGCTTGATGTATCGCTCTAAGATGTAACCACCCGCTAAAAACAATAAGAGAATGATTGAGTAAGACGAATTATTCTCTCCATCTCTTTGCAGACATGGACGAGAGGAGGCTCGTAGTACTGACGATGCTAGTTGTGGTAGCTAATACCTGGGAACACAGTGAGAATACTGTATTTAAGAAGACTAGCGAGGTGATTATAACTAGATCAAAGTGGTTGATAACTTTGGTGATAGACTTGCAGCCATATGAGAAGTTACTGGGTCAGTTTAAGACCGAAATGGACAAACTAGATACAGCCAGGACACTAAGTCGTCGGAGAATATTTACAGACTCCGGAATACCACCGTATATTATACCCCTTAGCTCAGGAATCCCTAATCCTTGAGAGACAATGGAAGGATATGAGTTACTATTTGAAAGGAATAAAGTTGTTACGGACCAGGCAAAAGAGGGCATTATTACCTATAATGGGAAAGGCATTAAGCGTGTTGTTTGGTACAGTCTCCGAAGACGAAGTGTGAGGAATTAAGAGGAAATTAAAGGTGGTAGAACAGAGACAACAAGCAATGGCTCAGTCGGTTAGAGAGAGCATATCTATACTAAAATGTTACTAGGCTGGAATTGGCTAAGAATAGAGGGAGTATTAATTGGCTGATTTCTCACCTACAGGTTTTTAGAAAAGAAGTGATAAATGTAAGCACGTCTGTAACAACCGAATTACAGAAATTAGAGGAGTTTTTGCAAAGGTATTTTCAATTATTAGCTATAATGTGTAAGGTAGGTCAAACAAGTCACTCTTTAACGGTGTTGTTAGAGCATGTGAGAGCACAATTAGACATGCTGTCGCTGGGACACCTGTCTCCGAGTATAATAACCACAGAACGATTAAGGAAAGTTCTACTGGAGATACAAGCCAAACTACCCCATCATCTTAGATTACCTGTAGACCCCACCCAGCAGTTGTGGAAGTACTATAGTGCCTTGGGATGTACTACCTTGTTGGAAGATGATAAATTACTAGTGCTAGTGTCGGTTCCATTACAGAGATAGTACCTTTGAAATTTATCAGGTAATGAATCTTCCCCTTCCCTATCCAAAACTAAGGCCGAATATAGGAGCGGTGGCTAGGTACAAGGTACAAGGTAGAGACAGAATTTGTTGCCCTAAACCTAGCCAGGTATCTTAGGTATCTGTGGGTCTGTAAGTCCAATTTACGTGACAGGTAGTCATAATCTGTGTGTACTAGATTTATTTAAGAAAAATAAGAAGGGAATTAGAGATCATTGTCAGGTAGAGGTGTTGGCTAGTGTGATGTTACCTAAGTCTCTGACGGAATTTGGGCGGTGGCCACATAAGAAGAGCTCGAATTATTTAAGGTGTGTGAAGGGAAGCCCACCACTACGATAAGAGTTATTCCCCCTTTGTTTTTTGTAGAGCTACTCATTGGTTATGGAGCTCATGGTCCATTTATCTCTTTACCTCCCTACTACCAAGCAGAAGAGAAGTTTGAAGAGAATGAGGCTTTGTTAGATCCGGTAGGAACGAATACCAGTGGATGGACGGGATTGTGGGAACCCATTGTAAGAGAGATTCCTAAGATGTCGCTAGAAAAGATGCTGGCGTTGTTAAGGCCAATCGATAAGATTGATCTTGGATCGTTGAAGTCGGAGTTAGGATAGGATAGGTACGCCGAATTCGGGCTGGAGAGAGAATTTGGTTGCTATAATAACCTGGCCGACCGTTGTGGGAATTATACTAATGATAGTCATGGCCTTGCTGGTTTGGTGGTGGTTGAAGAGGCGTGCGGTGTTATCGATCGGGCAGAATAAACTGGCACGGGAGTGCATGAGTGAAGGAGGGATTCCAGTTAGTGCAATTTACCAAGGTAGGTCCGACCCGAGTGCATTGGGACCACTAAATGATATTGAAGAAGAGTCCACGATTGTCGTGGAAGGACCTGAACCTACAAAAGATTCGACAAAGCCTGTTGTGAAGGCGAGACAAAATCGGAGGGACAGATTTACAAAATAAATCGAATTTTTTTTTTATTTTTAGTAATGAGACTGAAATAATTGGTAAGGAGTGTTGCGAACTCCAAGAAAAAAATGAAAAAAAAGGAAAGAACCCTCGAAATAATGAACTATGTGAAGAGGTTCTATTGCACGAGATCACCAAAACAGTGAAGTTTAACCGGAAGTTGCATGTACATATGTATCGTAAGGACAATGAAAATGTAAATGGGCATAATGAGCCCTAAAAAGAACTGAGGACTCTACCTTTGCATGCTGGAAGAGACGTATGTTTAAGTAGCCCCCTAGTAAGAAGCATGTTGGACTGGGTTTTCTCATATTTTGTTGATATGAAAGCTCGTGTGTCATTTATAAGTAAATGACAGATGGGCAGGGGAGGAAATGTGACAGAGAGAGAGAGAGAGAGAGAGTCTGGGAAACACACAAACACACGTATATTTTTTTAGTGAAATTGGAGTAGATTTGAACAGCGGAATTAAATCAGAACATTTTGTTTACTGATGGGGAAATCTGATCTAGGGCAGAAGTTGTACCCATTGAATCTGGGTCATCAGTAGACAATGGAAATGGTCGAAATAAATTGTATCGATTAAAAATTGAAATAGAGCTGAGTAAGCTAAAAGGAACTTTGGAATTCACATGATTTTGGTTGAAGCAGCCAGAACCCCGTGATAATCGCGTGCGAAGTAGTAGGGCCAAGGTTCAGTTATAACCAGCAGGGTTTATCTATAAAAACGCGTAGTTATGCTGAAAAAAGGGACACAGAGAAAATTCTTGAAGAGAGAAGAGAGAATTGGCCCGGGCGAGCGTTGGAAGGAGGAACACTACTATAACTTTAAGCCCCGCATAGACATCTTTAACCCTCCATCGCAAGAGTTACATATCGTTCTCTACTATTCTTTTTGCTATATAAAAGACATTACCAATTCAACCATTGAATAGATGTTTGCCCGGCTTTCTGCAGATATTATTTTTTTTTGTTTACTGCATTCTAAATTTCTTAGCGCAGACTCCCCAGCCGTGTCTACATCTTCAGTCGACCGTATAACTTTTTTACATACATACAAAACTAGTAACTTTTATCTATTGCTTTTACATGGAGAGAGAACAGTGAAATTAGACATTGCTGATGGCTGTTGTTTTTCTCTCAGAAGGCTGGTTTGTGTCGCGTCTCTCAGCTTGCCGGTGTTGACGTCCAATTTGGTCTGTGTTAAGTTTGTTTTAATTAGATAATATATAGCCATTGTTTAGCTTCGAATTAAGTTTTAGTTTTGGAGCGGGGATGTCTCTGACTGGCCAATAAATTGTTTTATTTTGGTGAATGCTGATGTATGCGTATAGCCTATGCGCAGAAAAAGTATTTACGCAATCTGCTTTGGGTTGTCGAGTGGTCAACATTCGGTTTGTGTAGAAAAATGTAAGAACAACAAGTCTAGCCCAATATTGCTATTGTAAAAGAATATGAACAACAATTTGTCTGACAAAAGACATTATAATCACAAGTGCAAAAGGAGAGAACAACAATGATTTATGACGGTCAGCGTAGCAGCAAAATCAAAGACAAGAAATTCATAATTGTACTGAGACACATTAGAAGTAGATCAATATCAATTTATGAGTCTTTCAAACAAGACGAAAAGACAAAAAAATCATCAGTGCAGAAATAAAGACTCAGAAGAAAATATCATGAAAGATTTATCATTGTGAAGAAAAAATAAGAACGTTTCATGACAGTGTCAAAGCAAGGTGATAGAAGAAAATATCAAATGGGTTCTATGACTTGTCATACAGACGATAGGGGAGGAGACACCGACTATGGTTTATCGATGTCACAGTGGAATCATAATGGCCGGCTACTCGTTTCCAAATACATTCGTCTGCTAGAACGACTAATACCTGTTGCAGACACCTGCTCAGACACATTTGTGTTTGCTCAACACCCACAGAACCCACTTGGAGTTTATACTGCAACTATGTTGAGTGGATTTTAGATACTGGTAGCGAGCGCATAATCTCGTGTAACAACATTTTGAACAAAGCTTAAACACTCACGATTAATTTGTCTTCTTGCTAGCATGACGATCAACGATTTTGAAACGTTCCGTCTAACGTCCCTCGCAAGGCTTAGGTCAACTTGTGGTGTGGTGAGAACTTTCACCTTCCACTGGTGCCCTTCGCTGGGATCGCCTCCACTGGCTGATAACATCAATGTAGCAATATGATTTCTCACACATCCTTCGGAGATAAATAGATAGATTCGTTTTGCTTTTAAGTCAATTTAATGACCAGGATTTCTTAGGAATCTTGTCTTCAGCCCATCTTTCAATCAATTTAATGAACAGGATTTTTCAGAAATCCTCTCACCAGCTTGCCTTTGAATTGGCAAGCATAAAATTTTGCTAGTGATTTTAGATAAATGTGGAATTAGGACAACTGGGTGGATTCGTGAAACAGCCCATTCAGTTGATGATGGTCATAGGAAAACTTCGACAGGCCTCCCAATCCTTGCTGATCACTTTGGAACACGTCAGAGAATAGGTAATCATGCTCTCACTGGGTCACCTGACTCCGTGCATTCTGGCCCCTGTTCCCCACAAAACCCTCTTACTTCAGATCCTAAGCTCCTTTACCAGTTTTCAACGCCATAAACTCGCCTATCCATTTTCCTAAGCCAAGTCAAGAACTGGGGGCAGTTGCGAAGCATAAGTTAGAATCAGAGTACATAGCCTCAAACCTAGCCAGGACTAAGTTCATGTTACTAGCTGCTGATGAAGCAGAGAAGTGTAAGACCTGCAGTTCTAGAAGCCCAATATATACGCATGGGGATCACCAACTGTGCATATTGGAGCTGTTTAAAGGGAATAAGGGGGAATTGAACAAACCTGCCAGGTAGAAGTGTTAACTAGAAGTCTGCTGCCGCAGGCTATGAACCACTTGGACGGGATATGAGATAGAGCGTTGCAAAGGGAACTGGATTTGTCATAAGTATGCAAGGAAAATCGACAGTAACCTCGTCCCTGGCCATTATCAAATTTCAAATGGGTTACGCTGCCTTTGGAAAAATTTTAGCCCTCCCGCTTTATTATCAGATGGAGGAAAATTTTCAAACCCAAGATTCCTTTCTGGCTTTGGTAAATGTCTCAACTAGCAAGTGGACAGGGCTATGAGAGCTCCTAATAAGGAAAACAGACAATGTAATTATACGCAAATTACCCCAATTATTAAAACCAATACAGAGAATAGATTTTAGTGGACAATTAGAAGTCACCCAACCAAGGGGGAACCAACAGCAAATATTATAATATAAGTTGGTTGTCAGTAGATGGTCATATAGTTATCATAGTGCTAGTGATAGTTTTAGTGGGTTATGTGGGATGTTGGCTGAAAAAGCGTCAAGTACAAAACGAGCTGGTGAGAGAATGTGAGGGTGACGAGAGGAGATTAATGGAACTTGCTGCTCCACAAGAATCAGACAGATTGGGGGCAGTTGCGAAGTATAAGTATATGGAGAGAAGCCCAGATGTAGATCAACCAGAGCAAGGTTTACAATTTCCCAATATACGTGTGGAACCCGAAGGGAAAAAAGGAAAAATATTTATAGTCCACATTTTCTTTTTTGGGGGTTGAGTTTCTGGAAAAAAAAGGACAATGTCAACTTTCTGTTTTAATTTCAGCCCCCTTAAAAAACTGTTCACCCTTGCGTCTGATGATTTTCTAGCACACAGGAACCCACCAGCGGATTGAAGATATATTTTTTTATTCACTGTTGTGGTATACTCACATATATATGTATTTTGATGAGAATTTTCTTGAAATTGTTGCGACTTGTGATAAACGCTATTTCATTTTTTATGTGATTTTTTTAATTGTGTTAAAAAGAAAAAAAACAAGAAACGTAATTAGTGTGCAGTGAGACGTAGGATTTGTGCATCTTGTCTTATGAGGAAGGTCATGGCATGGCACTCCAATTTTTTTCTGTGTTTTTGTCTTCTGGTTTTCACTTCTGTGTTATGCTAAAATTTCATTTTTTTATGGAGGTGGGGCGTTATAAAATGGGAAAGATTTGAAGAGGTGGTTAAAGGCCTCTTCTGTATTTTGAAAGTTCGGGAGAAATGCGCTTCCTGTGATATGAGTTACTTGAAGGGGTGTTCAAAATCCCCTTATTTTTTGGTATTGTTTTCTCTTTGGAATGTCTGGAGAGTGACGCTTCCTGTAATTTTACACTTTTCTAGAGGTGCTTGAAATCCTCTTGTAATGTCTTGAACGGAAGATAAAAAGTTGCTAACTGTCTTCTGGTATATTACGATATATCAAGGACGTGTTTTGGGTTGAACTACCTTCAGAAGTGGTTGACGTCCATCTTCATTTTTTTTATGAAACTATGTAGATATTATATTAATATTGCTGTTGTATTTACTTGCTTTGTTTCATTTATTTTAATTTTAAAAATTGTTTTTATCGATTCTTCTGTAATTTTGCTGTTGTAATTTATATAATAAATGACAAAATTTGGTGGGGAGGAGTATAGTACAATTTCTCACACATCCTTCGGAGATAAATAGATAGATGCTTTTTCCTTTTAAATCAATTTAATGACCAGGGTTTCTTAAGAATATTGTATCCATTCCATCTTTGAGTCAATTAAAAGACCAAGATTTTTCAGGAATCCTGGCACCAGCCCGCCTTTGAAATGGCAAACATAAGTGATTGTTAGTGATTTTAGATAATCATAAAAGTAAAGTCATTTGAAAAACTGATCACCCAAAAGCTGAATGGGTGGTCCTCTTTTCCGAAACACAAGTGGACGGATAGGGATG